ATGGCTGAGTAGTATTCCATTGTATATATGTATCACATCTTCTTTATCCAATCATCCATCAAAGGACACTCAGCTTGTTTTCATGTTTTGGCTATTGCTGCAATGAACATAGAGGTATATATATCTTTACAAATAAATATTTTCAAATTTTTCAGGTAGATAACTTAAGAGGGGTTGCTGGGTCACATAAGTAGCTCTATTCTTAATTTTTTGAGGAACCTGCACACTGGCTGCACCAATGTACATTCCCACCAGTAGTGTGTGGGGGTTCCCTTTTCTCCACATCCTTTCTAACACTTGGTATTTCTTGTATTATTGATACTAGCCATTCTAACATGTGTGAGGTGGTATCTCATTGTGGTTTTGATTTGCGTTTCCCTTATAACTAGTGATATTGAGCATCTTTTCATATATCTGTCAACCACCTGTATGTCTTTCTTGGATAATTGTCTATTCAGGTCCTTTGCCCATTTTTTTATTCAAATTGTTTGTTTTTTGTTGAGTTGTATGAGTTCTTTATATATTTTGGATGTTAGCCCCTTATAGGAGCTATCGCTTACTAATACTTTTTTTCCTTTCCTCTGGCTGCCTTTTTGTTTTGTTGATGGTTTCTTTTGCTGTGCAGAAGCTAAGCTAATTTTTCTGAATTAATATTTTACTCTCCAAGTCTTTTTCAAAAACTTTTTCAGTTAAGAGTTATTTTACAATAAGTAGCCTACCTTAGTTACTAGTTTTACAATTAAAATGTGTTTGAATACCACAAATTTTGCATTTCATAGGAAAAGACCCAAATGTAGCTAAAACCTTTAATTAAAGTACAGGGTATTAGTTAAATAAATTTAAAAAAACACTTATTCAAAAACACTTAAAGAATACCTCCAATTATAAGGCCCTTTACTGGGTTTAGGTATTGAAAATATCCAAGACCCTCTTACAGGCCCTGTCTTTGGAAAGCTAGAATCCTTTGAGGGAAATAGACATATAAGAGGAAAACTGACATAAGAAAAACCCCAAGTAATGACTACATTAATCCTTCTTTCCCATTAGAGTTATTATCTGAATTTCAGAATTCATTATCTGAATATTACATGCCATATTAATATGCCATCTAAAGCCTCTTAAACTGTACTTCCTTTGAAGCAAATTTCTATTGTGCACTTCATCCCAAAGAGAATCAACCCTCTGGCTTTAACTAAAATTTTAAATTAGAGGAATACTGCTTCCCTCCCACCCAGCTTTATGGAGCTATAATTGACACATAATATTGTGTAAGTTTAAGGTGTAAAATGTGTTGATTTGAGAGGACTATTGCTTTTATAAAACACACAGCACCATTCGGTAATATAATAATGCTAAACAAAACTATTGTTATCTATAGCTGTTATTTCTCATGCTCATAATTTTATCCATGGTAGATATAAATCTGTGCAACAAAGAAGAATGTTTTAGTGATATTTTGCTCTATTGAATGGAAACCCAATTATTTCCCCGACTCCTACCTTTTTTTCAACCTGTCCCAGCTCTCTTTCTTACTTCTTTAAATAAAACACTTCATTCTGGAAGTCTTTATTCTTTTCTTATATATTCCCATTACTTTCTTGTTTTATTCCAAAGGAATGTTAAATCTGAAATTCGACAGTTAAAACATTTGACAGTTCTGAGGTTAAAATGCAGTAGGTTATTCAGCAAACAAACATAAGGCTTTCTATTTGAAAGGTATTCTTCATCCTTATGAACGAGTTTAACTTGCTCTCTCTACAAGAAAACCAACATAAACACCCAAAAGATTATTATTATTATTTGCCTGGTTTTAATAGTGAGAGACAGCACAAACAATTTAAAAACCTGATTGCAAGGCTGAGATTATGTTGCCTTTCATCCTGCAGCAATGGAGACTGAACTGGTAAAAAAGAGTAATCAGGTTGAAAATCCTTATTTTGTTTTTGATGATCTATTCTCTGTTTCCTTGGAAACAGAGCTGGCAGCCAGAGTTGCTGGCATTATGTTTTCTTTTCTTTTTAAGCTTTGAAGCATCAAAGAAAAGGTGAGGTTTTAGGACTAATAATCTGTAGAATCTGACTTATTTTCAAATAAATTAAAAACAAATATTTATTGAATGCCTATTACATATAAGGTAGTATAGGGTAAAACTAACAAATTTGAGAAAGAGCTTTAAGCCAATTGATAGAAATAAATTTTAGTTTGGAACAGCCAATCTATTATGTATTTGAGGATTTTTTTAAGAAAAAGGAAATAAAGCTTACTTTAACAACTATAGTGTGAGGGTATTACACTGAGACCAACCAGTAGAGTTTAGTGAAATTAATTTTAGAAAACAATAGATTCCCACAACAGACAGCACAATTCTTTCTTCCTGTGTACAATAACTAGGTAATGTGTGGGTGGTTACTATGTGTTGAAAAGACAGTCTTTGTCTCCAGTAACTAAAGCAAACAAAACAAAAACTAAATGGAGCGTAAACCTAACAGGTTTTCTGAAAAACTGTTATATTAATGAAGTTACCAAATATTTCAGTTGATGGGGTGATTGTCAAACGATTATATGGTTTTTTCCTTTATGAAACATTGCTTTAACATAAGTTTAAAAAGCCACACAGGAACACTGAAATAAGGCAAGAGCCACAGCTGATGGTTGCAGGGAAGATTTTTCTTTTTGAAAATTAATAAGATCATATTTATATGCTTCAAGGGAAGGAGGATGGAATGGGAAAGACTGACTGAGACTTTAATTTGATAGAGCTAATTCCTTGAAGAGAAAGGTGGGGATGGGAACTAAAGCCCAACTAGAGGGATTTGATTTTGATGTCCTCTAAGGACAGCGAAGTACAATAATAATGCTTTACTAGGTGCTAGGTGTTGTCCTGAGCACTTTACATGTAATAACTGAATTAGGACTGGATGGAGATGATGAACATGGGAATTAAGAGTTGAAGGAATGTGCACCTGAAAATCAAAATTATCTCTGTGGATATAAATTACGTACTAATAATCTGCTAAAAGAAAAAAGAACAGATGATGTGGGGAGCTTAAAAAGAGATGGTCTGAAGAATAGGAAGTTGGCCAGGAATATAGACATGTACTTCTGAACAGTAATTCAAATAATTTTGTCATTTTCTCCAGCAGGACTCAGATACACTAGAGTCAGAGCTCAGAGCAGGACTATATTGACCCAAGGTTAGAAGTTTGGAAGCAGAGTGGGATTCAAAGAGGAGTTCAGGCAGTTGACAGCACTTGCAGAGGTTGGTTAAGTGATACCCAGTAGAATTAGGTTAGGTATGAAAGGAGAGGAATAATGATGGATAGGAAAAAAGAAAGTAAAAAAAAAAGTAACACAAAGATCACAAATATAAAGAGTCCACTGACTCTCTATCCTGATCCTTTCTGAGGAGGCAGCAGGTTGCCACACTCATGAAAGCCACTAGAAGAGTAAGCTCTGTCATCTTCAAGTTCAGGATTTTCTCCAGGTATCAGAGTCCTCAGGAAGGATAGATCCTCGCTCCTCCAAGTATTGTTCACTGAGCCACATCACTGGCATTACCTATCAGAAATGCAGAATCTTGGGTCCCACTCCAGAACTACTGAATCAGAATCTGCTTTTAAACGGAATCTCCAAGTGATTCATATAAACATTAAGTTTAAGAAGCACTGAGATAGATGAGAGAGTGTAGATTCACCCTTGGTTTATTTGTGCTGGTCATGATATGCTAGGAGAAACAAGGAGCAGACATTCTGTGATGTTCTCAAGCTCCCAGACTCAATGTATTCTTTTTTTTTTTAACGTGTAACTTAAATCCTTTCCCAAATGATTTGTCATCCTTGGCACTAACTCCTCCCTAATTCCACCCCACATCCCAGGTGCTGTCACATCTGAATACCAGGCTGCTGTATAAGATAAACTATAAGCTTCCTTTTGGTTTTAAAATTCTTTGATTTTATGTATCATAGCCAAACTTCCCCTGCACAGAAAAAATACCAGAAAATCAGCCCCAATGAAATGCAATTGTGTCAGTGCCAAAAATAATTCTAAGGAGAATTTTGCAGTTAGACACACACACACACACACACACACACACACACACACACACACACACACACACACCTGCTCTTGGGTCAGCTTTAAAGAGTGATGCTATCGTGGTTTTTCTCTCATAACATTTCCGTGTTTTGAAGCCGCTATACAAGATTATGAGAGGTTTTGAGATGCTTTTTACTCCCTCCTTTGTGCAAAACCAAGCCGAAATTCTTCAAAATTAAATCATGAGATCTGAGTAGAAGCTTGAGCGAAATTGCCTCCCTATGTTAATGAATTTCCCAAGAGGAGGAGGTTCTGGGGAGCAAGGCAAGTCTGCGTCAAACTGATCACGCAGATACCTGTTGGGGGCATCATGTTAATGGAAATTGGTACCGTTCTTTTTGTTTTTTTTTTAAAGACTAACGATGGCTTCTGTGATTCAGGCTTTTATCTTATACCAAGAATAGAACCTTGTCGACCTGCTGGTGGCTTTTTTTATGAGCCGCTTTTATGCGCTGTTACCTACTGGGCCGATGTCGGCGGTCAAAGGGGGAAAAAGGCCATTTGTTCTCTGCTCAAGCCAACTGGTCCAGAGAGCTGTGCATGTGTTGCTACCGCTGGGAGAACCGAAATAGCGGAGGCCTGAGGCGTCCCAAAATTGAACAGAAAGGGTTTTTTAAACTGCGCAGGGAGTGCTGTCTTCGACAGGATAGCTGACAGCCTCACCGGGTCAGCTCACCATCATTAATCGCCTCTCCCGCCCCAAGTTAACCCACCAACACCCACCCCCCAGCCAGCCCTTCCCCCTCCTTGCCTCCAGGGCTCCCGCGCTCCGCCCAATCCCTCTCTAGACTCCCCTCTCCCTCCTCTTCTTTCCTGGCCTGTCTCTTTTTGCTCTTCCCTGCCCCCTTCTTCCTTTTCCTTCTCATCGACCCTCCCCTTTTTCCCCCTCACCTCCCAGCCCAGCCCAATCTGCTTTCCGCTTTTTTTCTCTACGTTCAGAGCTGCGCTCCCGCTGCAATCGCCTCCTTCTTGCTCCCAGCGAAACGCCAGGCGGGAGGCACAGCTGGCTGGCTGCGCGCAGGCGCACTGTGCAGCAGGGGGCGCGGGTAGGTGGGTGTCCGCGCAGGCGCGCGCTGCTCGGGCTTCGCTCCGGCGGTGGCGGCCAGGTTTCGGCTGCTCGCTCAGTCAGGGTTGGGGCCCCGCGGCGGCAGCACCATGTTCCTTCACACAGTCAACCTCTGGAACCTGGCCTTTTATTCCTTTATGGTCTTCATGGCGACCCTGGGGCTGTGGGACGTCTTCTTCGGCTTCGAGGAAAACAAGTGCAGTATGAGCTACATGTTTGAGTACCCGGAGTATCAGGTGAGGTTCCGTCCTCTCCTCACCTGGGCGCCCGGAGACCTGGGCCCCTCCTGCCTGGCCCTTCTGTGGGTTTCCCCTGCCTTTGCTCCCCGCGCCTCTCCGATCCCCTTATCCCAACCTCACCTTTGTTTTTTCGTCCCCAGAGACTCTGCAGAACCCCACTACCCCCCTCACCTGTCCTTTGTGTCCTTTCTTCACCGTGGAGCGTTTCCTGGATGGTTCCCCGAGCATTCTGCCCGCCTCACTCGTAGTTGCTCCTCAGTCTCTCCGCCCTCTTCCCGACCCCAGATGCCATGCACCGGCTCTCCTGACGGGCCCCGTGCACCCCGCTTCATCCCCAGAGACGCAACCTCAGCCCCTCTCCCGAAACCCATCTTCCCTGCGTTGCGGCCTTAACAGGTGCCCCTGGACCCTCCCCCGCGCGCCTAGATTCTCCCCCTCTCGCCCAGTGATGGACGTGTTAGCTCTCGCTTTTCTAGAAAGGGACAGAGCTCCTGCAGAGCGTGTATTGGCTAGATAGTTCCCAGGGCTGACTTAGAGACTCTCCGGTTTTACCTCTGTGTGAAAGGCTAACCTGATGAGTAATTAAGTGGAAAGCTATTGAGGTTACCTCCTGCATAGATTTTGCGGAGCCTCCTGTTTTGTAGGTTATAGATCCGTGCGTGTGCATGCATGCCTGTGTTTATGCCTGTCGCCTCTTACCAGTTGCATACAGAATCTATTTCATGGTGCTGTTTTTGTTTTCGCACAGTTTGCTGTTTAAGAGAGACCCGGTCTCTCTCCCCCACCCCACTTTCTTTCCCCCCTTTTCTCCCCCCCTCTCTCCCTCTCCCCTTCCCTCTCTTTCTTGCTCCCTTTCTCGCCCACTCTTGTTTTCCCTCCCTCCTTCCCTCCTTCCCTCTCTCTTCCTCCCTCCCCACCCCGACCTCTTCCATTCCATTTGGAACATTTTCTACCATAATTGGTTCATCAGTTCGGCATAGTAGAATCTAGAATTTCATTCATGACCGGCTGTAAAAAAAAAAGGTGGTGACAAATTACACAAGTGTCTAAAGAAATTTCTCCCGAATGATTTTTATTTCAAAACGCATATTTAATGACAACATACATATTATAATAACCCCTTACCATAAAATGTATGTGAACTATAATACATATTGATAAAATGCATTGTTAGTATACTTTGAAAACCAAGCAGCTTTTTTTCTTTAAGGTGAAGGATGCCGATTGTGATTGCTTGTGTGCACGGGTCATTACGGAGGAGCATATTTGATTATGCTGCTGTTATTTAGATCTTAAAACTACTTAAGGTTTAATTGCTGACAAGCGCCCTTTCCCATGGGCAAAATTCTAGTTTAGGTTTCATTTGTTTTGAGACCCTTACCTTCATTTTGCATCAGTGCTTATAAGAGAGTGCAAGCATCTGATGTCAGATGCTATTATAGAAGAAGAATATTTTAACATGTTACTGTTGTCTCTTAATTTCTAAGCGAATATGCTGGTTTATGTTTATCAGAGGCCATGTATAGTTAAATACTGAGGCTTTTACTTTAAATTTTTTAAAACTGAAAATAGAGCCCTTATAATTTCCTTTTAATTGTCTAAAGTTTATTAATTAGGAAACTCCCAATAGATTGAATTTGGTCACTTTCGTTTTGTACTTCATTGTAGAGTTTGGTTAAAATTAAATTATTTTGGAACAGTATGGTACTAATTCCCATTTATTTTTATATTGCCCACAATTATTAAAGCTATTTTAATATCTACTGTAGTAGAACTTGCTTAACATTGGGAACAAAACATATGGACCTCACAGATGCATTTTGTGCCTCATAAAATTGACTGGAAAGACACAAAATTAGTGTAGCTAAGGCAAAAGAGCTGTTTGGCTTTTTTGTTGTTGTTGTATCTGTAATTAGTTATTTTTATTCAAATTGCCTTTTTGAGGTTTTACATTCTGTCAATAATTTGTTAGTACAGTAATTATTATGGTGACAAGAGGTTTTGATCTACATTTTTTAGTAGATTTTTATTTTTATGATTTAAAAAGCTGGGCTAATTCACTATAGTATTTATATTTGACTCTTAGTCTTCTTATTGTACACATTAGATTGTGTTATTTTACAAATATAGTTAAAACCTGCCTATAGAAGTGACTCATTTTGAATATAGTGAGATTTCTGAATAACTGAGGTCATTCTATTAAGAACTAATGGTTTTTAATGAATAAAGGTGTTCTAAACATATTTTACATATTGCTTGCTTTTAATTATATTTTATAGTAAGCTCTCTGTTTCAGGTTGATATCCAGCAGATGGGATGCCCTAGTTGTTGGGTTTTCTTCTCTTTCATGACGCTTTTCTTTTTTACTGTACATTTGCATGTTCGTTAGCTAACTCTTGAGGAAATGAACAATATTTGAAACATGATCAATTTTCTTCATTTTAAAAATGAAAGGTGGGAAAGGAATTTGAAATACTTTGTAAAAATGAAGTTTTGAATTTAAAATTGTTTGATGATCTCTGTTCATTCCCTACCTTTAGTTTTCCTAGGTTCACTTATTGAGAATTAACTGAACATCTCAGGAACCTGACAAAATATCTTTTAAAGCTTCTTGCCTATGGCAGCAAGGCAAAGCTTTCATAGCTTTAGGCAAACTGTAGAATTCGAGAACAAACATCTGTGTTGTTTTCTCCCATACAGTAATTAGTTTGCCTAACTGCAGATATGTGATCTAACAGTTGCTCTTTGAAAGGAAATGTTGATATTGGAAAATACAATACAAATATTTTGTTAAGTCTGATGTTTACTTAGCAAGTCATTTATGGAATGACTAGTCTGTGTCAGGTATGATGTTGTAGATACTGGGTGTGGGTAAGAGGGAATTACAGATGAATCATACCGTGTGCCTTTATGTCTTTATAGTACAATGTGGGAGACAGGAATGTAATGGAGAGTTAAAATGTGCTAAATGTTACAATTTCACCGTAAGAGAGTGTGTGCAAGGCTCTTCACAGAAGAGGGCATTCAAATTGTCTTGGGTAGTCAAAAGCTGCAGAAAAGGTAGTGAATTGGGCTGTGGAGGGTCTATAGCTCATAAACTGCAGAAACAAGAAAATTGCAGGAGTAAAGAATAGCATTTGTGAAGCTTAGGAAGGCACCAGGACACTTTGTGTAAGCAGTATGTATAATATGTTATCATTTATGTAAAATATTTCTGGAAGCACAAACCGCTAACATTGGTTGCCTTCTGGGTAGGAAACTGGATAGGTAAAGGACCACAGGTAAGAGAGAGCCTTTTCTATGTGTATCCTATTGAATCTTGAATTTTGAAACATACTAAGAATAAATTTTAAAACATGGCATGTGTAAGTTATAAGAATAATTAGAGCCAGATTTTAAAGGACCTCTCTCTTAAGCCTTTATCATCCATATATGCAGTGAGGAAACTCATAAGGTATAAGTTTTAACAAGGTATTTCTTGAAAGCAGTATGGACTGTGGATTGTAGCAGGGAGATTATGACAGGGAGAAAGACTGGTCTGAAAGATTCAGTTGTCCCTAGGGCTTTTTATCAAGCTGGAGTCCTCCAGAGTATTCTTTTTTTT